AAAAGTTTGATTTTATTTAAAATGTAATATTGAGTGCACCCGCTTGAGGGCTAAGCGAATAATTCGCTTTAATTACCCAGTGTGAACAAGTAGTTAAACTTGTTTTCGGCAATGCGGCTTAACTTAATTCTGCTTAAATCTTAATCCCGCTTAAAATATACAGTGTGAATAGGGTATAAGGATAACAGGGTTTGGGTTTAAACCCTACAGGGTCAGGATTATTTGTGTCAGGCCGAATGGAGGAGGTGAGAGAGGTCGTCGGTAATGCGTCGGCGATACACGAGCAAAAGACATCATTTAACAATAAAACGAAAGTTTATTAGATAAATAATTAGATACAATGATCAACATCAAGATTCTAGCGACCTTGTATACTAGCTCCCTATTACTAGTTGAAAGGGGCCAAGAGAGCGTTTGCATTAAACGTTATAATACTTCTTTGGATGCTGGACAAGAAGGTGGCCTGGAGTTGATAGGGTACAGGAAATCCGTATCAGAGGGTTATCCAAAAAATCCATATCGTAGGGTTGTTTGATATTAGAGGATCCCTTTCTTGACTGGCACACAGTTTTGATCCTTCTCCCTCTCGACCCATTCCTTCCCCTCGAGTCCCTCTTTTTATTCTCCATATCACGTTATCCTTTTACACCAATCGGGAATTTCAGCCATCAGTTCCTAGTGACACATTTAACGAGTTCCCTTGGAAAGGAAACAACTCCGGGGGGGGGAGAGAGATGTAATCACCATCCAGTCATAAAAGTGGAAAACTTTCGAAAGATGGCCAAAATGAAATTGTTTTCCAAAATCTTCGACCTTCACACTTAAATGAAGAAATTACTTTGCTTCATATTAATCCTTGAGGTATTGTTATCATAATACGAGAAACTTTGTCAATTTTTTTTGGCAAAACTTTGATAGTGTAATCTCGCATAACGAGTGTTTCGCATAACGAGCAAAACAAATTGTAAAAACTGCCTTGCTTAACGAGCGATGTTTCGCATAACCAGTGACGAGGAGAGGGAAAGTCCCGAATTGTGTGCATACTCCATCAGTCTGTGTTTAGCACTCGTTTCGCTAGCATCTTAGTGTCGCTTGTGATCACTTATTTTTCAAACTTGTGTTAACACATATTACTTTTAAACATCAATAACCATGTGGCGTGTTTATTATATAACGGGCTATCCGTTATATAATAAACACGCCAAACGATATGCCAAATTCTTGGGCTATACAAAGACTATAATAAAGTATTAGAAATTAATTAATTTAACTAGATGTAAGCAGTCATGCTGCCATTTCGTATTAAATTTTAGAAATGTCTGAATTAAAAATTAACTATTTATAATTATTAAATTTAATACGAGATGGCAGCATGACTGCTTACCTCTAGTTAAATTAATTAATTTCTAATACTTAATTATAGTCTTTGTATAGCCCAAGAATTTGGAATATCGTTCGGAGTGTTTATCGAACTTATTATCTGTGATTTCTTTTTGTTTTCTGCAAATCGAATTCTCATTCCATGTTGATTCATTCCGTGCTAGAAGAAGAGATGATGATTCATACTTCTTAACAATGCATAATGTACAATTTTCTTTGAATAAACGTTATACATAAAATATTCGAGTATTTATTCGGCGTAGTACGCATTATCGTATTTTACATAATTTTTACGGGGAAAATTGTTTCGCTTAACGAGTGTTTTGCATTACGAGAACGATTCTGGAACGAATTAAGCTCGTTAAGCGAGGTTCTATTATATTTGCATAAAATCCATAGGGTATTTTATATATCTCGACACTTTGAGATTCCTGAAGCAAAAAATGTCAAAAAACGGACAAACATTCTGTATCTCTGTGTGTTGGCGTTTATTTCATTTAATACCTCACTCATGGAGTAAAGATTATGAAAGGCATTTGGTATGGTAACTTATATATAAGGACATTAATCCGATTAAATTTTGGTGTGTGGAACCTGAGGGGGCAGGGAGATAAAGAGGTTATGTATATTTTCTGAGTGGAGTGGTCGTACTTAATTAATGAAAAATTTTATTTATTATTGACATTTACAATATTAAAACCACCTCATTTCTACCGTCTAAATTAAGACGTTTTCCACTTTTTATAATAATTAATAATATAAAAGTTATTTTTAAAAAACATTTTGTATTAGATGATGAAATACACAATTTTTACTTTAAACTAGTCAAAGTGTTGTTTAAAATTAAATATATTTTTTTCTAATTGGAGATTTTTATTATAATTTAATTAAAGCACTCCTTTTAAGCTTTTGTTATTACTATACATAGTATAAGTGAAAATTATCAAACTTTTTAATGACACTCTTGTAACGCACCGTTTACGAAAACAAAACAGAATGGGGTTACATAATATAAGGGTTTAAGTACCAGGCCTGGACTTATCAAATTAAAACAATAATTTGCAAAACCACAGATAATAATTCAAAATAAATATAAGTTTTATTATATTGAAAAAATAATGGGTTAATTGTCCCAACAGTTAATGAAATAATTGAAAGCAACAACAAAAATCAATAATCCAAAAAATCGTACTTATAATATCAAATTAAAGAAAACATTTTTTTATCTCCACCTCAAAAGGATCCTACAACCAAAATATACTGTTTCCGCTAAGTGATCACAGACATCTCGACAACCGTCATTGCCAGAAGCTACCTCCTCTCCGTACTCTATGTGCCGCCTTTTATTTAACGTTTAGTGCAGCTCCGCACTGTCTTAATTTACATACATTTGCGTGACAGGATCAGGCACGGATGCCAACTAAGTTTGCTTTTCTTTCTTTGCCATCTGTGCTTAGGAGTTTGTCCTTAACTAAAAAGAACCCCAAAAAGAAAAATAATCAAATAAAAATAACGCCCCAAAACATAAAATAACGATCGGACATTGACTCCTTTACACCCTTATCTTCCTGTTTGAGTGCTGAGAAAGTTGAGAAAGAGCCTTTGCGAGCTTGTTTTCATTTATAGAAAATATAGAATTTTAATATGTAGGCCTAATAATAAAAGACGTTTATAGATTCAAAGGTACATTTTTCTGATCTAGCAGAAAAGTGTACTGTACCTTTTAAATCTGTAATCTGTAACTCAAAACTACGCTTTCTATACAAAAATCATTGAAAAATGTTAGGGGCAAATATAGGGCTATCAGTTCTATCAATGATGGTGATAAAATCGGAGAAAACGGGGTTAGCTGTAGTGTTTTAAATAGAAACTCTCATTTTTATTGTATATTATGATTCTACATCCAAAACAATCAAACCTTTATCTAAAACATTGTTTAAAAATTGCACTTATGAGAAATTATGAGCGCTTGAAATTTTATGCTGCTGCCACGCAGTGCAAGCGTGAATATGTTGACATCCGTGGTGTATATTGGACAGGAAGAAAGGTACTTAAAAACTCGTCGTAAAAAGGAAGATGATATTATTTGGTGGAAACAAAACCAACGTCTTCTCTTTACCACAAACTTGATAGTTTTAAAATCCTGTAGCACTAACTTTCATATCAGTTCATTATTTGAAGAAACAGTGACTCCACCAAAATACATTAGTTTCCTAAAGATTTTAAAAGTATTATTCAGTAAACGTCACAGATAGCCACAGATTCACGAATGCATTGTGTCGACTGCGTAAAACTTGAAACGCTCATAACTTCTGGTAAATGCATTAAAAAAATGTTTCATATAAAGTTTGTTTTTTATGTTGAAACATCGTATACAATAAAAAAATGTGAGTTTTCATTTAAGAAAGTGAAGGTGTCTCCATTTTCACGATTGTAACACTATTTGTGATCAAACTGATTGCCCTATGTTGTGTCTAACATTTTTGATGCAGTGGTTTGATTAAAACGTTCCCAATGTTTGTACACATTTAAAAAGTTATGGTAAAAAGTAGGATATATTATTAATTTTAAATATATTTTAGATGATTTTAATCATATTTTAAAATTTGTTCAGAAATGCAGCTTCTCTAGTATCATTTCTCTTGTGGAAAAATGATGCTAGAGATACATTTCAGAATTTATATTATGGATAAATTTTGAATTTTATTACTGATTTTATGATTCTTTTTATTAATTATTAATTTAATTGCATGACTTCAGTTATATTTTCTACAGAAAATTCCTATTTAGAATCAATATTAATCCTCCAAAATTGTTTCTACGAGAAATTAGGAAAGTTTAACGCAAAGGTAAAAATATCAAGCTGAGCAATAAACTTGAATTAAAACAAAAACTTTTAATAAACAATTTAATAAAATTCCAGAGAAAAATTGAAAATGGTGAAAGAATTAGAAACGAAGATTCTATGGATGCCAAAGAGAGATGTTGCTGTCATCAAGAATAAAATAAATTATTGTTTAGGGGCTGAAATAACGGATTTTGAAGAAATTCGTCGTATTTATGATTATTACGAAGAGCAATACAATAATTTAAAATGCAGAGTAAAGTTCCCACAACGCCTTGAAGATTATAAAGAGAAATTGATACACAGATGGTGTAAACAAGATCTAGAGAAAGATCAAGCATGGTTATCGATGAAAGACACTAAAATGTTTAGCACATGTTCTAAACTAAGCGATAAAGAAGTTCGCGTAAACAGCTTCTCTTTTTGTACAGTAGTTGGCTTGAACAATTTAGTTGAACATTATAACACAAGTTTACAGAATGCTGCCCTATCATTAGAATATAAAGTAACACAAATCATTGCAGACTTCGAACACGATCGCAAGAGAATTTTCGTATACTTCATAGTCACAAAAAAGAAACTTGGGAAACAGGAACAGAATGCAAGTACACATGTATTACACAGATTCGAAATTAAGTATTCTGACATATATAGAATATTAATTAACAAGTTACCTACTGAAAAAACTCTTAGTTTATGCCTTTACCTTACATATCCAGTATTGTTGTATAGAGTGAGCAGAAACGCGATACAAGAATCTAGGCATAAAAACAAGGAGGAAAATTTTTACCTTAATTATCACAATAAAGATCCTAACACACATTTCTTCATTCGAGTGTCAAAATTCTCACATTGTTCAGAATCAGATATTGGTCTTTCAAGTGTTTTAAAGTTAGAATTATTTTGGGATCAATCTTGGGATGTGATTTGTCGATTGGTAAATAATTGTAAAGATGTTGATTGTTTCTTTTCGCCTCTCAATAAATACGACAAACCTAAAAGTTATCCAACACCAAAGATTTTAAATGGAAATTTTAATTGTGTTTACGCATTAAAATGCATTGTTTCCAGAACTAGAGATGTTGCTGTGCAGATGTATTTGTACAAACAAATCGAATCTGTAAACGGCAAATTAAATGAATTCGACAATCCAAACATCTTGGAGATGACACTAATTGAAATCAATGCTGCATTTGAGAGGAATAACATTGTGATTTTCCAGAATGCACTGAATTTCTTATTTGAAAAATACAAAGATTTTGATGATGAAGCCAATGGAAATAGTCCAAATTTAGTTAAAGTGAGAAGGGCCATTTTGACTCCGACTCGAGTGATATATTTGCCTTCTCAATATTATTTTAGATGCCGTTTCTTCAGGCAATTTAGTGAAGATTATGCTCTTAGAGTGTCTGTTCGAGAGGATAATTATGAACCATTATATAGTTTACAAAAGAGTAAATACGAACCTGAAAACGAATCTGATGATGAAGAAATAATTAATTTACTAAAAATAAATTTGTTAAATGGTTTTAAAATTGGCCAAAGGAAGTATATGGTTTTAGGCTCTTCAACTAGTCACTTAAGAGAACAGGGCTTAATGTTTTATGCAGATAAAGATGATACAGGTAAACCGCTAGCTCTGAAAGATATATATAGTGAATTGGGAAATTTTGAGGATATCAAATGCGTTCCAAGATACATGGCGCGAATAGGTCAGTTTTTTTCTCAGGCATTGAATGCAATTCACGTAGACAGGAGCAAAACTGAGGAAGTGGCAGACATAACAATCCCTCGTCAGAATTCTGATGGACAATATAAATTTTCTGATGGAATTGGCAAGATATCTTCCGAATTAGCAAAAAAGGTTCGAAATTTAAAAGTTTATTTTATTTTTTATTAAAGAATGAATATTTGAAATCATTTTACAGGTGTTTGAAAAATTAGACATTTTGAACGAACCCTCAGCCATGCAGATACGTTACGCGGGTTTTAAAGGAATGTTGACAGTTTGGCCTGACATGAAAGGGGAAAAGATTATTTTTAGAAAGAGCATGAATAAATTTCCATCTAATAACGAAAGTTTAGAAATTTTGAAAGTTAGTAAACCGAGTGAGTATAATAATCTCGTATATTTAACTTAAAGAGAAGATAAATTAATGTCCGTTGTGCTTGATATACATAATTCATCGATATAAAATTAGGAAAGGAGTTGTTCAAATATTATATATATATAAAAAGTTTGCCCTTTTGATCCCCATTATCAATCATCAAAAATAAAGGTATCCCCTTTCCCTAATTATGTTATCACACCGGAAGTTTACACCATTTGCAAATAGATTGAAATTAAAATTATTTCTGTTATTATTGCACAGACAATTTTATGATGACTGAAAACTGACCGACACGTCGGTCAGTTTTTTCCCCATGATGATTCTCTGATGAAGAAAAAGGGTGCACCCGTCGCGACGGGTACAATCTTACATCATCAGAGAATCATCCTTTTTCTTCATCTTCAGCATCATCAGATGCAAACGAATTCTTCCTCCTCATAAACTGTTGATGCAATAGTTGAATGGTTCCAAACGCCAATAGAATTAAAACTTTTTAAGTACTTTTTTTTAATTGTTTAAAGAATATAAAATTTAAAGGAAAGAGTGCATTGAATTAAAAATTACAAGTTAAATTTTACAAGTAATAAAATGATGTAAAAGATCTAAATGTATGCAGATCTAAATATATTTATTAAGTATGAATTCACTGTTTTTATCTCAATAATTATTTTTATAAAATTTGTGATGAATAAAATTATACTTAAAGTTAACATTACTCTAGCCCATCATTTAATTTTCTCATTTATCTTTTTATGTCAAAAAGGGCTTATAAATACTTTCTCCACATTTTAAGTCTCCAGTACTTGTAACTAACTTATTTTCAGAAAAGATATATATATATATATATATATACTATACATATATATTATATCTTTGCTGAAAGCGAAATCTGGTGGATCTATTTAAAGGGTAATATGGTTTAAGCCCAGGGCTCTAAGAGGGAAAAGAACAACCGAAAGTATGTTTTGTTAAAGCTATAAGAGCATAGAAGTGTAAAACAGTAATAAATTAAAAATTTCTTCGGAAAGTTAAAGAATAATTGCAAAGTCCGCAATAATTCCTATATAACTACAATGGAAAATGCCCACATTTTCCATTGTAGTTATATAGGAATTATTACTGAAGTAAGAATGAACATTACTGAATTACTGAAGTAAAAATGAAAAATATGTTAACTAAGAAAGTGTGAAAATACATACAGTACTTTACATACCTGTACATACATACATATATATTCAGTATACAGTATCTCTTTCCAATCGTTCATTTGCCATATTTAGTCAGGTTGTTGTTGTTCTTTATGGCATGTTACTTTATAATAAAAATGTTTATCATATAATAAAATATATAAATAAATAGGGCTTCTAAAGTAGAAAATAAGAACTTTGGTTAATTAGATGCAGTAAAACAAACAGATATTGTGGTATTTTGCTTAACTGAACNATTCCGAATTAAATTTTAGAAATGTCTGAATTAAAAATTAACTATTTATAATTATTAAATTTAATACGAGATGGCAGCATGACTGCTTACCTCTAGTTAAATTAATTAATTTCTAATACTTAATTATAGTCTTTGTATAGCCCAAGAATTTGGAATATCGTTCGGAGTGTTTATCGAACTTATTATCTGTGATTTCTTTTTGTTTTCTGCAAATCGAATTCTCATTCCATGTTGATTCATTCCGTGCTAGAAGAAGAGATGATGATTCATACTTCTTAACAATGCATAATGTACAATTTTCTTTGAATAAACGTTATACATAAAATATTCGAGTATTTATTCGGCGTAGTACGCATTATCGTATTTTACATAATTTTTACGGGGAAAATTGTTTCGCTTAACGAGTGTTTTGCATTACGAGAACGATTCTGGAACGAATTAAGCTCGTTAAGCGAGGTTCTATTATATTTGCATAAAATCCATAGGGTATTTTATATATCTCGACACTTTGAGATTCCTGAAGCAAAAAATGTCAAAAAACGGACAAACATTCTGTATCTCTGTGTGTTGGCGTTTATTTCATTTAATACCTCACTCATGGAGTAAAGATTATGAAAGGCATTTGGTATGGTAACTTATATATAAGGACATTAATCCGATTAAATTTTGGTGTGTGGAACCTGAGGGGGCAGGGAGATAAAGAGGTTATGTATATTTTCTGAGTGGAGTGGTCGTACTTAATTAATGAAAAATTTTATTTATTATTGACATTTACAATATTAAAACCACCTCATTTCTACCGTCTAAATTAAGACGTTTTCCACTTTTTATAATAATTAATAATATAAAAGTTATTTTTAAAAAACATTTTGTATTAGATGATGAAATACACAATTTTTACTTTAAACTAGTCAAAGTGTTGTTTAAAATTAAATATATTTTTTTCTAATTGGAGATTTTTATTATAATTTAATTAAAGCACTCCTTTTAAGCTTTTGTTATTACTATACATAGTATAAGTGAAAATTATCAAACTTTTTAATGACACTCTTGTAACGCACCGTTTACGAAAACAAAACAGAATGGGGTTACATAATATAAGGGTTTAAGTACCAGGCCTGGACTTATCAAATTAAAACAATAATTTGCAAAACCACAGATAATAATTCACAATAAATATAAGTTTTATTATATTGAAAAAATAATGGGTTAATTGTCCCAACAGTTAATGAAATAATTGAAAGCAACAACAAAAATCAATAATCCAAAAAATCGTACTTATAATATCAAATTAAAGAAAACATTTTTTTATCTCCACCTCAAAAGGATCCTACAACCAAAATATACTGTTTCCGCTAAGTGATCACAGACATCTCGACAACCGTCATTGCCAGAAGCTACCTCCTCTCCGTACTCTATGTGCCGCCTTTTATTTAACGTTTAGTGCAGCTCCGCACTGTCTTAATTTACATACATTTGCGTGACAGGATCAGGCACGGATGCCAACTAAGTTTGCTTTTCTTTCTTTGCCATCTGTGCTTAGGAGTTTGTCCTTAACTAAAAAGAACCCCAAAAAGAAAAATAATCAAATAAAAATAACGCCCCAAAACATAAAATAACGATCGGACATTGACTCCTTTACACCCTTATCTTCCTGTTTGAGTGCTGAGAAAGTTGAGAAAGAGCCTTTGCGAGCTTGTTTTCATTTATAGAAAATATAGAATTTTAATATGTAGGCCTAATAATAAAAGACGTTTATAGATTCAAAGGTACATTTTTCTGATCTAGCAGAAAAGTGTACTGTACCTTTTAAATCTGTAATCTGTAACTCAAAACTACGCTTTCTATACAAAAATCATTGAAAAATGTTAGGGGCAAATATAGGGCTATCAGTTCTATCAATGATGGTGATAAAATCGGAGAAAACGGGGTTAGCTGTAGTGTTTTAAATAGAAACTCTCATTTTTATTGTATATTATGATTCTACATCCAAAACAATCAAACCTTTATCTAAAACATTGTTTAAAAATTGCACTTATGAGAAATTATGGGTGCTTGAAATTTTATGCTGCTGCCACGCAGTGCAAGCGTGAATATGTTGACATCTGTGGTGTATATTGGACAGGAAGAAAGGTACTTAAAAACTCGTCGTAAAAAGGAAGATGATATTATTTGGTGGAAACAAAACCAACGTCTTCTCTTTACCACAAACTTGATAGTTTTAAAATCCTGTAGCACTAACTTTCATATCAGTTCATTATTTGAAGAAACAGTGACTCCACCAAAATACATTAGTTTCCTAAAGATTTTAAAAGTATTATTCAGTAAACGTCACAGATAGCCACAGATTCACGAATGCATTGTGTCGACTGCGTAAAACTTGAAACGCTCATAACTTCTGGTAAATGCATTAAAAAAATGTTTCATATAAAGTTTGTTTTTTATGTTGAAACATCGTATACAATAAAAAAATGTGAGTTTTCATTTAAGAAAGTGAAGGTGTCTCCATTTTCACGATTGTAACACTATTTGTGATCAAACTGATTGCCCTATGTTGTGTCTAACATTTTTGATGCAGTGGTTTGATTAAAACGTTCCCAATGTTTGTACACATTTAAAAAGTTATGGTAAAAAGTAGGATATATTATTAATTTTAANCCATCTCGTATTAAATTTAATAATTATAAATAGTTAATTTTTAATTCAGACATTTCTAAAATTTAATACGAAATGGCAGCATGACTGCTTACCTCTAGTTAAATTAATTAATTTCTAATACTTAATTATAGTCTTTGTATAGCCCAAGAATTTGGAATATCGTTCGGAGTGTTTATCGAACTTATTATCTGTGATTTCTTTTTGTTTTCTGCAAATCGAATTCTCATTCCATGTTGATTCATTCCGTGCTAGAAGAAGAGATGATGATTCATACTTCTTAACAATGCATAATGTACAATTTTCTTTGAATAAACGTTATACATAAAATATTCGAGTATTTATTCGGCGTAGTACGCATTATCGTATTTTACATAATTTTTACGGGGAAAATTGTTTCGCTTAACGAGTGTTTTGCATTACGAGAACGATTCTGGAACGAATTAAGCTCGTTAAGCGAGGTTCTATTATATTTGCATAAAATCCATAGGGTATTTTATATATCTCGACACTTTGAGATTCCTGAAGCAAAAAATGTCAAAAAACGGACAAACATTCTGTATCTCTGTGTGTTGGCGTTTATTTCATTTAATACCTCACTCATGGAGTAAAGATTATGAAAGGCATTTGGTATGGTAACTTATATATAAGGACATTAATCCGATTAAATTTTGGTGTGTGGAACCTGAGGGGGCAGGGAGATAAAGAGGTTATGTATATTTTCTGAGTGGAGTGGTCGTACTTAATTAATGAAAAATTTTATTTATTATTGACATTTACAATATTAAAACCACATCATTTCTACCGTCTAAATTAAGACGTTTTCCACTTTTTATAATAATTAATAATATAAAAGTTATTTTTAAAAAACATTTTGTATTAGATGATGAAATACACAATTTTTACTTTAAACTAGTCAAAGTGTTGTTTAAAATTAAATATATTTTTTTCTAATTGGAGATTTTTATTATAATTTAATTAAAGCACTCCTTTTAAGCTTTTGTTATTACTATACATAGTATAAGTGAAAATTATCAAACTTTTTAATGACACTCTTGTAACGCACCGTTTACGAAAACAAAACAGAATGGGGTTACATAATATAAGGGTTTAAGTACCAGGCCTGGACTTATCAAATTAAAACAATAATTTGCAAAACCACAGATAATAATTCACAATAAATATAAGTTTTATTATATTGAAAAAATAGTTAATTGTTCCAACAGTTGGTTAATGAAATAATTAAAAGCAACAACAAAAATCAATAATCCAAAAATCGTACTTATAATATCAAATTAAAGAAAACTTTTTTTTATCTCAACCTCAAAAGGATCCTACAACCAAAATATACTGCTTCCGCTAAGTGATCGCAGACATCTCGACAACCGTCATTGCTAGAAGCTACCTCCTCTGTGTAGTCTATGTGCCGCTATTTATTTAACGTTTAGTGGAGCTCCGCACTGTCTTAATTTACACACATTTGCGTGACAGGAGCAGGCACGGATGCCAACTAAGTTTGCTTTTCTTTCTTTGCCACCTGTGCTTAGGAGTTTGTCCTTAACTAAAAAGAACCCCAAAAAGAAAAATAATCAAATAAAAATAACGCCCCAAAACATAAAATAACGATCGGACCTTTACACCCTTATCTTCCTGTTTGAGTGCTGAGAAAGTTGAGAAAGAGCCTTTGCGAGCTTGTTTTCATTTATAGAAAATATAGAATTTTAATATGTAGGCCTAATAATAAAAGACGTTTATAGATTCAAAGGTACATTTTTCTGATCTAGCAGAAAAGTGTACTGTACCTTTTAAATCTGTAATCTGTAACTCAAAACTACGCTTTCTATACAAAAATCATTGAAAAATGTTAGGGGCAAATATAGGGCTATCAGTTCTATCAATGATGGTGATAAAATCGGAGAAAACGGGGTTAGCTGTAGTGTTTTAAATAGAAACTCTCATTTTTATTGTATATTATGATTCTACATCCAAAACAATCAAACCTTTATCTAAAACATTGTTTAAAAATTGCACTTATGAGAAATTATGGGTGCTTGAAATTTTATGCTGCTGCCACGCAGTGCAAGCGTGAATATGTTGACATCTGTGGTGTATATTGGACAGGAAGAAAGGTACTTAAAAACTCGTCGTAAAAAGGAAGATGATATTATTTGGTGGAAACAAAACCAACGTCTTCTCTTTACCACAAACTTGATAGTTTTAAAATCCTGTAGCACTAACTTTCATATCAGTTCATTATTTGAAGAAACAGTGACTCCACCAAAATACATTAGTTTCCTAAAGATTTTAAAAGTATTATTCAGTAAACGTCACAGATAGCCACAGATTCACGAATGCATTGTGTCGACTGCGTAAAACTTGAAACGCTCATAACTTCTGGTAAATGCATTAAAAAATGTTTCAGATAAAGTTTGTTTTTATGTTGAAACATCGTATACAATAAAAAAATGTGAGTTTTCATTTAAGAAAGTGAAGGTGTCTCCATTTTCACGATTGTAACACTATTTGTGATCAAACTGATTGCCCTATGTTGTGTCTAACATTTTTGATGTAGTGGTTTGATTAAAACGTTCCCAATGTTTGTACACATTTAAAAAGTTATGGTAAAAAGTAGGATATATTATTAATTTTAAATATATTTTAGATGATTTTAATCATATTTTAAAATTTGTTCAGAAATGCAGCTTCTCTAGTATCATTTCTCTTGTGGAAAAATGATGCTAGAGATACATTTCAGAATTTATATTATGGATAAATTTTGAATTTTATTACTGATTTTATGATTCTTTTTATTAATTATTAATTTAATTGCATGACTTCAGTTATATTTTCTACAGAAAATTCCTATTTAGAATCAATATTAATCCTCCAAAATTGTTTCTACGAGAAATTAGGAAAGTTTAACGCAAAGGTAAAAATATCAAGCTGAGCAATAAACTTGAATTAAAACAAAAACTTTTAATAAACAATTTAATAAAATTCCAGAGAAAAATTGAAAATGGTGAAAGAATTAGAAACGAAGATTCTATGGATGCCAAAGAGAGATGTTGCTGTCATCAAGAATAAAATAAATTATTGTTTAGGGGCTGAAATAACGGATTTTGAAGAAATTCGTCGTATTTATGATTATTACGAAGAGCAATACAATAATTTAAAATGCAGAGTAAAGTTCCCACAACGCCTTGAAGATTATAAAGAGAAATTGATACACAGATGGTGTAAACAAGATCTAGAGAAAGATCAAGCATGGTTATCGATGAAAGACACTAAAATGTTTAGCACATGTTCTAAACTAAGCGATAAAGAAGTTCGCGTAAACAGCTTCTCTTTTTGTACAGTAGTTGGCTTGAACAATTTAGTTGAACATTATAACACAAGTTTACAGAATGCTGCCCTATCATTAGAATATAAAGTAACACAAATCATTGCAGACTTCGAACACGATCGCAAGAGAATTTTCGTATACTTCATAGTCACAAAAAAGAAACTTGGGAAACAGGAACAGAATGCAAGTACACATGTATTACACAGATTCGAAATTAAGTATTCTGACATATATAGAATATTAATTAACAAGTTACCTACTGAAAAAACTCTTAGTTTATGCCTTTACCTTACATATCCAGTATTGTTGTATAGAGTGAGCAGAAACGCGATACAAGAATCTAGGCATAAAAACAAGGAGGAAAATTTTTACCTTAATTATCACAATAAAGATCCTAACACACATTTCTTCATTCGAGTGTCAAAATTCTCACATTGTTCAGAATCAGATATTGGTCTTTCAAGTGTTTTAAAGTTAGAATTATTTTGGGATCAATCTTGGGATGTGATTTGTCGATTGGTAAATAATTGTAAAGATGTTGATTGTTTCTTTTCGCCTCTCAATAAATACGACAAACCTAAAAGTTATCCAACACCAAAGATTTTAAATGGAAATTTTAATTGTGTTTACGCATTAAAATGCATTGTTTCCAGAACTAGAGATGTTGCTGTGCAGATGTATTTGTACAAACAAATCGAATCTGTAAACGGCAAATTAAATGAATTCGACAATCCAAACATCTTGGAGATGACACTAATTGAAATCAATGCTGCATTTGAGAGGAATAACATTGTGATTTTCCAGAATGCACTGAATTTCTTATTTGAAAAATACAAAGATTTTGATGATGAAGCCAATGGAAATAGTCCAAATTTAGTTAAAGTGAGAAGGGCCATTTTGACTCCGACTCGAGTGATATATTTGCCTTCTCAATATTATTTTAGATGCCGTTTCTTCAGGCAATTTAGTGAAGATTATGCTCTTAGAGTGTCTGTTCGAGAGGATAATTATGAACCATTATATAGTTTACAAAAGAGTAAATACGAACCTGAAAACGAATCTGATGATGAAGAAATAATTAATTTACTAAAAATAAATTTGTTAAATGGTTTTAAAATTGGCCAAAGGAAGTATATGGTTTTAGGCTCTTCAACTAGTCACTTAAGAGAACAGGGCTTAATGTTTTATGCAGATAAAGATGATACAGGTAAACCGCTAGCTCTGAAAGATATATATCGTGAATTAGGAAATTTTCAGCATATCAAATGCATTCCAAAATACATGGCGCGAATAGGTCAGTTTTTTTCTCAGGCATTGGATGCAATTCACGTAGACAGGAGCAAAACTGAGGAAGTGGCAGACATAACAATCCCTCGTCAGAATTCTGATGGACAATATAAATTTTCTGATGGAATTGGCAAGATATCTTCCGAATTAGCAAAAAAGGTTCGAAATTTAAAAGTTTATTTTATTTTTTATTAACGAATAAGTATTTGAAATCATTTTACAGGTATTTGAAAAATTAGACATTTTGAACGAACCCTCAGCCATGCAGATACGTTACGCGGGTTTTAAAGGAATGTTGACAGTTTGGCCTGACATGAAAGGAGAAAAGATTATTTTTAGAAAGAGCATGAATAAATTTCCATCTAATAACGAAAGTTTAGAAATTTTGAAAGTTAGTAAACCGAGTGAGTATAATCATCTCGTGTATTTAACTTAAAGAAAAGATAAATTAATGTCCGTTGTGCTTGATGTACATAATTCATCGATATAAAATTAGGAAAGGAGTTGTTCAAATATTATATATATATAAAAAGTTTGCCCTTTTGATC